GTATGTTAAGAAAAAAAACACATACAGGGGCTGGAGAGATGGCTCAGCAGTTAAGAACACTGGTTGTTCTTGCAGAAGACCCGGGTTTGAATCTTAGTACCCACATGGCAGCTAACAACTGTCCGTAACTCCATTTCCAGGGGATCCGACAGCCTCTTCTGTCCTCTGAGGGCATTGCACGACATGGGTGCACTTACCTACATGCAGGCAGTACACACACATAAAATAAAAATAATAAATAAAATATTAAAAAATAAATAAATGTTTTTTAAAAAGAAAAAAACAATACAATTCCTTTCAAAGTCCCAAAAATTACTCCCATGGAGCTCAGTATATTGCCTTGAGCTGCCATAACAGAGTACCTTCTACTCGGGTCTTCGACATGGAGATTATTACCTCAGTTCTGGAGGCTGAGGTGAAGATGTGGGCAGTATTGATTTTTTCCAAAGCCTCTGGTTGGCTGGCGATGACGTCTACTCGATTGCCTTCACGTGCTCCTCCCTTTGTGTTTGCCCAAAGTTTCTTTCCTTATAAAGCCTAGGGCCCACCCTAATGTCCTCCTTTTAACTTCTAGTGTCTTTAAGAACCCTCTGCTGGCATAATCACATTCAGAAGTACCTGCTGAGATGACCATGTGCATTTTGAGGGAACCCAAATCATCTCATGATTCCCAGATTCCATCAGAAAAGTCAGAACCGAAGAACTGACTCTAAGCAGGAGAAAAGAGACCCTCCAAGCAACTCCCGGAGCTGCAGTGGAGCTCAGCAGGGCCATCACCTCATTTTGTGGACAAGAAAACCAAGGCCCAGAAGAGAGTGGCAAATACATCACATATTTTCTATTAAGGCTTCTTCCCTTAACCGTGTGTGTGTGTGTGTGTGTGTGTGTGTGTGTGTGTGTTCATGTTTATGTGTATGTGCATGTTCATGGGGGTGCACGTGTGTGTAGTATGCATGCAAGTATGTGTGAGAACATGGGGAGGCCAGAGGACATCCTCAAGTATCATTCCTTAAGCTTCAGGTTCCATCCACCTTCACTTTTTAAATTTCTATTTTTTTTTTTATTATTGGGACAGAGGGGCATATGCATGCCAACATGCATGTGTGGGGGTCAAAGGACAACCTTGTGGAGTCAGTTCTCTCCTTCCACCTTTACATGGGTTCCAGGGTTCAAATTCAGCTCATCATCAGGCTTGTTCAGTAAAAGCCTTTACCCACTGAGCCATATCCATACCCATATCACCAGCCCATATCCATCCTCCTTTTTTGTGTTTGGTTGGTTGGTTGGGTTTTTGTTTGTTTTATATTATTTTGTCTTTTGTTTGAGACAGTATCTCCCTGTAGCCCCAGCTGGCCTGGAACTCACTATGTAAACTAGGCAGTCCTCAGTCTCACAGAGATCCACCTGCTTCTGCCTCTCAAGTGCTGGGATTAAAGGTATGTACCACCATGCTTGGACCTACCCTCCTTTTTAAGACAAGGTCTCTCACTGGCCTGGAACTCCTCCACTAGGCTAGATTGGCTGACCACAATCCCCAGGGATCCATCTGTCTTTGCCTCCTCACTGCTGGGTTACAAGTACACACCATCATATCCAGCCTCTTCCTCCTTCTTCCCCCCTCCTCCCCCTCCTCCCCCTCCTCCTCTTTCTCCTCCTCTTCCTCTTCCTCGTTTTCTCCTATTCCTTCTTCTGGGGATAAACTCAGGTACTCATGCTTGCACAGCAAGCATTTTGCTGAGCTATCTCCTGAGCCCCTCACTTAACTACTCACGTAGAACCCAGAATAGAAATGACATGTCATAGCCAGCCACAGCCAGGCACACCTGCCACATTGAAGTTTTATGGACTTAAGTTCACTGAAGACTCTCATTGGGGAGTGAGAGATAATGATCCCCCCCTTTTCTCCAAGGAAGACCTCATTAGTTCTCAGGCAAATCCTCCAAGACAGATTTAAAATAAATGTCTCATTGTAGGGTTTTTCTCCTTATTTAAAGGATACAAAGGGGTTTCTGTTTCTTTCCTTTTTTTTCACTGTGTATGGTGTACACTCACTCATGCATGCCTTCGAAGACTAGAGGCAAGGTCCTCTGTTGCTCACCATTCTTGTTTATAAAACGTTTCATTTTTATGTATTTATTTGGGGTGTGTATGTGCCTGTGGAAGTCAGAGGACAACTTGAAGGTGATGGTTCTCTCTCTCTACCATGTGGGTCCAGGGATGGAACTTAGGTCATCAGACTCTATAACAGGTGCCTTTACCCACTGAGCCATTTCAGCTGCTCAGCCATCTCACCCACCCTCCACCTTATTTTTTGAGACAGGGTCTCTCACCAAACTAGAGCTCACTGTTTCTGCTAGACTGGCTGGCCAGAGATCTATTTGCCTCTGCCTCCTCATTGCTGGAGTTACAGACAATGGTCATTAGGCTTTTTGTTAATGTGAGTGCTGGGAATCCAAACTCTGGACCTCATACTTGCACAGCAAGCATTTTACTCACTGAGCCATCTCCCCAGCCCGTGTCCTTATTTTTTCAGTAAACAGATGTGATCCCTATTTGGCTATCTCATTTTTATTCCTTTTAAATGCAAAATGCAGATTCATGTCCTCCTTCCTGAAAGGAGTTTCAGATGAATTCACCTCAAAAAAACAGAATAAAATGAAATCTGAGGGGCATGGTGGTACACGCCTTTAATCCCAGCAATCAGGAGACAGAGGCAGGTGGCTCTCTGTGAGTTCAAGACCAGCCTGGTCTACATAGCGGAATTTCAGGCCAGCTAGGGCTACAGGGAGACTCTGTCTCAAAACAAAACAAAACAAACAAACAAAAAAACTGGTGGAAGCCTTGTGCGACATGTCTCAAGGCAGAACCAGAGGCTAGGCCCAGAGCTCCTCGTGGTTTCACTATGGAATTTCCTTTCTGCCTAAGGCAGACTTGGCTCACCACCCCCAGCGTGACTGCTGATTCCCAGGGAACACCCAGATCCACAGATGTTCATGGGTCACGGAATCATGAACTGACCACTTGTGCATTTTGGATTTCAACTTGTAAACATGGGGATTCCCTTAAAAAAAAAAAAAAAAAAAAAAGGAAGAGAAGAGAAGAAAAATCACAATGAAAAGGGAAAATGTGAGCTAACTTTTTCCTTTTGGAATCTTGGCGGGTGAATTTTAGCTATCTCCAATCTGGCTTTCACCAGACACTGTAGGTTTTGAGCAGGCGTGGAGCTGTCTGCCCCTGGCAGGATTGCCAGAACATTTAGCCCTGACCTGTAACATGCCTTTGATTACAGTCATGAGCAGAGGCAGCCTGGAGGATGCGTTTGCCAGACACAGCATGCTGGCTATGAGGTGGAGCTTGGACTGGCCATGCAAATCAGGACACAGAATGAGTGACTGATGAGGGTCAGAAAATCCCTAATTCAGATCCCACCTGGTCTTTCTCACCTGGCATTGGAGCAAATTGCATGAACCCCCTGTGCTTGAAATCAACCCAGCTGGAAAGCCCTAGAAAATAGGAGGTCCAGTGCCATACAACAGCTGCTTCTGCAGTGAGTTTTTGCCACCCTTACCCTTAAATGTTAAGAGACGAGAGCCGCAGTCCTTTCCAAGCTGGTGAGGGATCTGTTCTCCCTAACACAGTTACACATAAGTCCAGGTCCACTGATGCCTGGTCCCTCATATCTGCAAGGTCGGTGCCCAGTGTGCTGATTAGTCTATAGAAGGTACTTCTGAAATGGGGATTGAATCCATAAATATAGTCAAGGATTTCCCTGAAGAGCTGGCCAGTCCCTCTTTAGACCTGGTTCCTGCTGTTCTATTTTCTACGCTTTATCCAAAACAAAACATTGTGTGGATGTGAATTTTTCTCAAAGTCTATGGGAGGAATTTGTCTAGCTGTGAGTTAGAGGATATATTTATTGCATAAGTGTAAATGTGTGAGCGTGTAAGTACCACATGTGTGGAGGTCAGAGAATAACTTTCAGAAGTCAGTTCTCACCTTCCACTGTGTGAGTCCTGGGGATCGAACTCAGGTCATCAGGCTTGGTAACAAGTGCCTTAACCCTCAGAGCCATCTCCCCATCTCTTACAGCTTCTACTAAATACAGGTTTCCCCTAGCCTCTTTAAAGTAGCGTGTGCATTTTGGATGCTGTTAACAACGATAATAATACACAACATCTATGCAAATTAGCAGATGTTGTCACAAGAG